CTTCTCTATCGCCTGGGGGTACTTGCCCTGCAAGCGATGGATGTCGCCCAAGCTCCACAGGCAGTTCGCCACGCCCTGTCGGTCACCAATATCGGAGTACACGTCGTGGGCACGGGTGAGCTTCTCTATCGCCTGAGGGTACTCGTCCTGCACGCGATGGATCTCGCCCAAGCTCTGCAGGCAATTCGCCATGCCCTGTCGGTCTCCGATCTCGGAGTACACGTCGTGGGCCCGGGTGAGCTTCTCTATCGCCTGCGGGTACTCGCCTTGCATTCGATGGATCTCGCCCAAGCTCAACAGGCAATTCGCCACGCCCTGTCGGTCTCCGATCTCGGAGGACACGTCGTGGGCCCGGGTGAGCTTCTCTTTCGCCTGCGGGTACTCGTCCTGCCTGCGATGGATGTTGCCCAAGCTAACCAAGCACTTCGCCACACCCTGTCGGTCTCCGATCTCGGAGGACACGCCGTGGGCCCGTGCGAGTTTCTCTATCGCCTGCGGGTACTCGCCCTGCATGCCATGGATATCGCCCAAGCTCCGCAGGCAATTCGCCACGCCCTCTCGGGATCCGATCTCGGAGTACACGTCGTGGGCCCGGCTGAGCTTCTCTATCGCCGGGGGGTACTCACCCTGCATGCGATGGATGTCGCCCAAGCTCCGCAGGCAATTCGCCACGCCCTGTCGGTCTCCGATCTCGGAGTACACGTCGTGGGCCCGGGTGAGCTTCTCTATCGCCTGCGGGTACTCGCTCTGCACGCGATGGATATCGCCCAGTCGTCTCAAAGCATTTGCCAGTTGTTGCTTGTTGCCGGAACGATTGTACTGCTCACAAGCCTTCTCGAAGTCCTCCCTTGCTGATCGGTAGTGGCTTGTTCTGTACATGAGCTCACCCCTTGCGGTCAGACCTTCAGCGCGAGCTACACCTATCGCGTAATCATCCCAAGCGGCGACCAATTGGTCGATGAGCTCGGTGGAGGGTCGCATGAATTGCTGGAAACGGCTGAAAAAGAATGCTGCCCGCGCAACATCCGGCGCTACGCCTTGTTTATGGGCGAGCTCCCACATGAACAGGGAGATGATATTACCCGTTTCCGGGAGCAAGGTTTCGTACGCTGACGGGAACCTGTCGTCTCCGGGTTTTTTGTTGGCGTGCCTGTCGATCAGATCGACGTAATATCGCATGAGTACTTCGCGTTGGCGGAGAGGAAGAACAAATTGCCGTGACGTGATAATACGGTCGTTATTGATGTACTCGCGGATTGGAGCAAGCACCTTAATGCTCTGGTTTTCAGCCTTGAAGGCAAGACCAGATCCGAGGACGGTGGCCAAAGCTTCGTCAACATCATCGAAACCCAGATCCATCTCCTCAAGCTGCTCGACTCCCCCAAGGATACCGTCGGGTAAGCGACAGATGACGGCAAGCAACGGGATCGCATCCGGATGGCGGCGCATTGGTGCGGACTGCAGCGACATTGATATAGAGACACGCATGCTGGTTTCGCGGGATTCAGAGGGGTGATTCGTCTTCAATAGCGAGGTCTTTTGTTTTTCCCATTGCTTCAGCAGGCGGCCGCAGGTCGAGGATGATTTGAGTAGAGCCAGGAGTTTGATGGCGAGGGGTAGGCCGTCGCATTTCTGGAGCAGCAGGTCGAGATCCTTGAACTCGGACGGCGATGTATCGGGTTTTATGGACAGGAAGAGCTCGCGCGCTGGAATATGCCCCAAAGGGTCGAGGTGCATGACTGACCACGGGACGTCTCCGTCAGCAGGTGGGGCATTGCCTCGCATGGTCACGATCAATTGAAGTTTAGGGATGGCAGCCAATGTTCGGAGGACTTCCGTGAGTCTCGGCTGGATATTGGGTGTATCCAGTGACCAGGGGCTCTCGAAGTTATCCAGCACGAGTACAATGGGACGGCTCGCCGCCTCCAGACACGTCTTAAGATTTTTCATGGGATCGCCGTTATCCGACGAGTTCTTTTCCATGGCCTGGAGGATACTTGCGACCAGGGTTAGGTCAGATATCACCGTGTCGCAGCGGACGAAGTAGCAGTCATTCTGGCCTTTGACACCTAAATCATCGACGACGCCAAGCGCGACCGAGGTCTTGCCGATCCCTCCGGTACCCAAGAGGGCTATGTGCCGTTGTTGAGCGTCGCATATTTTGCCGGCTGCAGCCCTCACGACGATATCTCGTCCGTACAGGCGAGGAGGGGCAGGGACGTATTGAAGGCTGATGAGTTGCCTTGCCTTTAGCGCATCTTATGACGGTATACTGATGAGGCCCACAAACCTTGCGGCCTCAGATGTGTTGGCCTGCACTCCACGCGGAATGCCCTCCGTTGGATCAGGGAACCGTGCTCGTATTAAAGAGTGGATTTCAATCACCACCGAGTACACATCCGTCAGGTTGGCCTGGATTTTGTTCACGCCCGAGCTGGTTTCCATCGCCTTAGAGTAAAAACGGTCCAATCGGGAGTTCACGTCTCCAAAAGCGGAGTGCAACGTCAAACCGATATGGCTGACGACGACAGCCTATGTGAGGGAATGCACGGTATAAGAACTCGTGGAGGGTATATGATCATTACATCTCACCGTAAATTCTTGGATGCGTCGATCAATCTCGGTGTTATAACCCGAAATCTTGTCCGCTATATATTCTCTCCTGCGGAGAGATCGGAACCATGCCCCGAACGTGAAAATTCTCGACAGTTTGAGCGGTTCTAAGCCACTCTTGATCTTTTCCAATGTTCTAGAGGGCGAATTCATTATGCTGCAACATCTTGTTCTGCAGCTGCGGGACATACTCGTGAACCTCGTCTAGACACCTCTTGAGCTCCGGAGGCACGTCCTCGTTCCGTTTCCCGTCGAGAATCCTGAGCATGGTGCCGGTGAGCTTGAAGACACGGCTGGCCAACTCTTCGCAATCCTCTCGATTTTTGCGCACTTTCTATCACACAGGATGTCGACATCGAACGGATGAAGGAAGACCGGACGACGTACCTGTACCATTTTGAGAATCTCCCTTGCAACCTTAACAGACCCTTTCAGAGGGTCGCAGAGGACGACACCCTCCGTGAGCGCCTCTACGATGGATAACAGCGTCTCGCCGTTTGCCAGGGCGCGATCCAATTTTTTCTGGTCAACTGCGACTTTGGGCTCTTCGGAAGCATTGACCGCGGGCTGGGGAGGGGAAGCCATGGCAAGAGCGAAGGTGGGGGTCTCAGAACTCACGACCCTCACGCATATATTCTCGACAGAGTGGCAGTGGTTCTGGTACGAGGCGGTGCGAGAGGCCATGAGTGGCAAGGGTTCTTATACAGAATCTAGCAGAGCTATTGGGAGCAGTGCGCTGATTGCCCCCCAGAATGCAGTACACATGAACAGCATGCCGGCGCTTGGTCGGGATACAAGATTCAGGGTGCACTGGCATATTGTGCGTTCTCGTTTCGCTCGTCGGAGCATTTGCAGGATTCATCCCAAGTGTCGTAAAGGTTGAGTATAACACGCAGCAGCGCAAGCAGTGTCCATGTAGTATGTAACGAACCCAGTCCGGACCCGTCCAACCTCCGAAGCTCGCGGACGTGCTATGGCATCCTCTTGCATCGCCGTGGGGGTTGTTCTCTTTCCGCCACTCAAGCGCTCGTATCTCTGCAACGCGATGTTCTCTCGATGGTCATGATTGTGGGATCCTCACACGTAGAATATGAATGGACTGGCAGGCTGTGGAAGGAAAGCCTTCTCGAGCCACAGGGCTGTCTGCGACGCTTAGGATTAAATTGGTCTACATCTCTTTTACGGACTTGATCGTACCCTGCTCCTCGCTCCTGCATCGACCAAGTGCACGCTCACTGGCCCGTCATCTCCTCGCGAACGTTTTGATATACGCATCAGATCGCATGTGAGAAGTGACTGGTACGGTGTAGCGTCAAGTTACGAATGGCATCTCGAGGTCGAGGGAAGGAGAGATTCCATAAGATGTGTTTGTCCCGTCGCAAGGACTTTCCGAAGATGTGAACGCAGGAAGCGAATGTCCCGACGTGACTTGGGTGCACGACACCGAGCCCATCAGTTGACGTCCGAGTCATTCTTGCGCGTGTTCGAGTCACAGAGGCCCGCTAGATGAACGATATCCAAGATTGTCGAGCAGCCAGCTCAACAACGACCCAGACGTGCTAGTCAGCGCCGAGATCGCTCGCTGCCGCTGCTGCTCAAAGGCGCCAGAGAACATCAGGCTCGAGTCGACGAGAAAACTCCGCTTCGTTTCGTGCACGATCCGCCACGATCTTCGCCTTTGCCATCCTGCCCACGTCCTACGGGCGTGGTCCGTGAGGCACCACCGCCACGATATCGGTGTGACATCGCCCGCGTATGGTATCAGTCGACGATGAACACCCATCGTCTGCAGCTGCTGGGTGTTGCGAAGGAAAGGGCTGTAACGCTTACTTGACGAGTGTGCACTGTTCAACTCCCGGCACTCGTTGCGTCCGAGCACGTAGGAGAACAGAACGCCACTCCTTCGCGCGGGGGCAAAGGCGGACGTCGTACAACTGAAGCACTCGCGGCTCCTCACATCCCGGGACTATGCCGTGTCGACTTCCGAGTTGCACGAGGGTACGGCCTCCGGAACGGTGCCTGGGATGTTTCCGGCGTGCACCTGAGCCGCGCTGCAGCGCCCGCTGCGAGTCATGCCAGGCAATGGGTCGGACCCGAGTGCTTGCGTTCGAGAACGAGGAGAGCGAGGTGCGCGAGAGGGAAAAGAAATTAGGGAGGCGTGTGAAGTCGGAGTCGTTGGCACAGGTTCTGCGGATAGAGGGGCGGGTGGCGTGCAGCTGACGGAGTCTATGGAGAGGATGCAGGAACGTGGATATCTTAGTTGGGGGTTCTGAACAGTGTAGGTCCCGAGGGTGGTACGCTGTATCTAAAGCGTGATGGATAACCAGGCCGTCGTCGTCATTAATTGTCACACTACTCTCGTCCGTTAGCGTCTCCAAAACCGACGTCTTGTGTCAATAGGAAGCTTACAATACTTATGCGCGCTCAGCGGCGAGACGGGCACTAGAAGGAGGAGTGGGGTGAATGCGCGGTCCTAGAGAGCGCATCTTCAAGGCTGTCGTCAGTTTCATCGATGTGCTGAGGTGCTCTTCTTTGCACGGGCTGGAGTGCTGCGGGTGAGTGAGCAGAAGGGTTGAGTCGGGCTATGTACCGCGGCATGCAACCCCGACGGTCCAGGCGAAGACGAGCGCTCGAGGATACAGTACTCACGATGGAGGTCGACCGTGCATTCGCATCAGCCGACGATGCGTATCTATATCCGGATAGCCTTTGCTTCCGCCGGCATCGGATTACCGGTGATGACGATAATCACGGTGACCTTGCGTTCCGTCCCTGCGAGTTGGCGGTGTGCAGTCTTGCGATGGGTCGACGACAGTGCTATAATAGTCAAGAGAGGGCCCCAGCCGACTCGACGACTCGACCAACGTCTATATAGCGCCGACTCTATTATGCTCGCGTTGCTAGCCGACACGACGGGGCCACTCATTATCATCGTCGTTCGAAACCTCGCAGCGGTGCAGCCCTATTATGCGCACTTCGCGATGATACCCAACCGTCTCGCGAGTGCTTAGTAGCGTTCGATTGGACCGCTTCAGGATGGTGGCTATTATGTTCGTCGTCGCGATCCCTCTTCGTGTCTTTTCAGCTCATATTATCCGACAGGCGGGCAGAATATGGTCAAAGCTGTTGTACGTTCAATGTCGCGAGTTCAAACAGCGATATTGCTATGTACGTGTAGTCTAATGTCGTCTAGTGCCGGATAAGTCGCGAATCATCTGCAATCTTATCGTCAAAATCCGGTTGAGCGGCATCCATCTTCCCCAGGAGACATCCGTTCATCCCGAAACGCATTAGCACCATACGCACGTCCACCAGTTGATACGAGGGTGCTTACAACGCGACGTGGACATGCGGACTACGCGTTCACCGGCGGTCACGACACACCGTCATCTCTGCGCCGTCTCCGCCTCCACCGCCTCCGCTGCGACATCTGCGGTTCCATTCCGATGGATTGCGGGAGCGCCGCAGAATCCCAAGCCAGCCCGGAGCTCCCACTTTCGAAGCTCTACTACGTCGTGGATGGGATCGTTGCAAGCTCTACATGCGCAGATGAGTATACTACGGCGGATAAACACCATCAAGGACGATGACAGAAGGCATCTAGTGATGTGGTACGCGATTTCTGCCCGGTCCGTACCAGTCAAAGAGCTCTATTTACGTGAATGGACAGGACTTCGTAGAAACCACGGGGGATGACCGCACGGCGCTCAAAACACGTAGTGCAAGCTCTCTAAGCAGCGGCAGAGTAGCGGGGAACATCGACCCTGTAGCAGCACCCAAACATGACGATTATAGCAGGGTGGGATATACTCGCATATCGCATCTCATGCATCTTCGAGTTTGTCGATCTCATGCATCTTCGAGTTTGTCGTCGCCCGAGCCTGAGGCTGTCGCAGAACCTTCGCGACCTTCTTCATCCTGCACGACGCGAGTCAGCGGCGAATGCATGTCGCGAGTGACGGCAACCTTACCATGAGCTCGTGAATCTCACGAAGGAAGTCTGAGCAGTATTCCGCGTTGCCTTCTAGTCCGATCGCCGTGAACAATGACCGGGCGGTCGTGATATGCTCAACGGCCTCAGCGTAACGACACCGGTCGCAGTCGAGGTTCCCCATGTGAATATGACACCAAGCGATGTTATAGCGATCTCCAATGCTAGAAGCAAGGTCAAGAGCGCGCCCTAGCTTCTCCGCGGCTTGATCATATTGCTCCTGGACACGATCAATCTCGCCTAATCTCTGCAAAGCCTCTGAAGCACCATTCCGATCTCCGATCTCGGAGGACACGTCGTGGGCCCGGGTGAGCTTCTCTATCGCCTGCGGGTACTCGTTCTGCATGCGATGGATGTCGCCCAAGCTCCTCAGGCAATTCGCCACGCCCGGTCGGTCTCCGATCTCGGAGTACACGTCGTGGGCCCGGGTGAGCTTCTCTATCGCCTGGGGGTACTCGCCCTGCATGCGATGGATGTCGCCCAAGCTCCACAGGCAATTCGCCACGCCTTGTCGGGATCCGATCTCGGAGGACACGTCGTGGGCCCGAGTGAGCTTCTCTATCGCCTGAGGGTACTCGCCCTGCGTGCGATGGATGTCGCCCAAGCTCCACAGGCAATTCGCCACGCCCTGTCGGTCTCCGATCTCGGAGGACACGTCGTG